CTGAGGCAGTAATTCTGGCCTGCCTTCTTCCCAGATAGAGCAGGCCTAGCCATTCCTCATTGGTATAAGAAACTGGTGTATGGGTATTGGAAGCTTGAACTTTGGGGCATATAAAGGAGTTGGTGATAAGAAGCACTTTTCCTTCATGCTTCTAAGGTGGCTGAAATTGGAAGCTCATACAACTCACTGCTCAGGGTAATTTACACTCTCCATCTGTTGGAAACTCTCAATTTAAACTGATTGTAGATTATATACTCTAGATTATGATTTCCCAAAGTTATTAACAGTCTCGATGGAAAAGGGTACCACAATCAGATTTGTTTGGGGAATGCTAGATTGCAAAAAGCATACAGGTTTCTTAATCCCAAGACTTCTCAGAATTTTGAAAGTGCTAATGTATATTATAAATCTCAAGTGAAAGACATAGCATTCAGTGTTTACCAGTTTTAAAAAAACAAATTTCCTTTTTTTGGTCTGCAATCTTGGAGGACTAGTAATCGTTGGAGACCACTAACCAGTAAATAGAGAAATGATAGGTGTTATTCCTCACCCTGTTATAGCCCTTTAAAAATTTATTTTTTAAACTTCCTTTTCTGTTCTTGTTTTCTGTGAGAGGCAGAATTACATAAGTTAAAAACGTGGGTAGCAAACTCCCAAGGTTTGAATTCTGGCTTCTCAGCTTACTAGCTCTGTGACCTTAGGTAAATACTTGACAGCTCTGTACTTCAGTTTCTCCGTCTGTAAAATGAATAAACCACCTTGTAGGACTGTTGTGAAGATTACGAGTATTAAAGCATTAGTTTTCATAAGGTTATGAGAAGGATGCCTGGCCTCTAGTAAGGCTCAATAAAGGTTAGCTTATTATATCTTCTCATGTATTTTTTACCTGCCTGTGCCTAGGTTAGACATCAGTGGCAGCTAAGGGATTGGATTTAGTAGTCACATGTAGGGCCACATGCCAGGGGTTACTGTGAAGGCAGCTTGGTAAGCTCGTCTGCTTAGGGAGGCTGTGGGTCTGGGGGAGGAGAGACACTGACATTCTCCTTGCTCAGCCTGCTTCCTTGAGCCTATTAGGCAAGTGGGTAAGTACGTTTAAAAAAATTCCTAGCCAAGATTAGATTGTGGGCCATCTCACAGATGGAATAATAGCTGGATTGTTGCTAGGGAAGTAAATGTCATTTTGGAGGTACTGTCATCTTGATTTTTGCCATTAGTCATTTATTGGAACACTGCATCCCTTCATAAAGACCTCTTAAGGGACTTTGTTGCTTTTTTATCCCAAATTTTGAATATAAGAACAGTACTGAACAGAATATACTCAACAGGTAAACACTCTTTTAAATAAATAATAGAACTGTGGTTTTTAAAGCATATGTAAAAATATTTACCATGCAGTACCGAGAGAGCAATTATAAGCTTTTCAAATGGACAATTAATTGCCCAGAGAAGAGGATATTAACTAATGAGAATTACAGTTATATCTTATTTTATAAAAGAGAGAAGCCATAGAGGTTTTATAAACATACAGGGTTGTAAGGACCATCAGGGTCATGCATTCCCTCCTNACGATGTAGGCTGCAATGAGGCTGCAGTGGGCTGCCGTGAGCTACCGTGAGCGGCCGGCAGCCGGTGTGAGCTGCTGTGAGCCACCATGAGCGGCCATCCAATGGCCTCAGCGATTGCCTCACCTGGGAAAAGCACAATAATAATACCAACGTGGGCCAGTGAAATGACGTTCTCCACAACTAGACTGAAGAACAAAAGGACAGCAACTTGTCTGTTCCCCTTCCCCCAATTCCCCAGTGCTGTTCCCCTCCCCTAATTCCCCAATTAAAAAAAAAAAAAAGTTCAACTGGTTGGTAAATGAAGTTATTAAGCCATAATTTAAGATAGTACTTATTTTTTATAATCCTCCCTCCTGCCAATGCTGGGCTGACCTTAGGTGAGACTGTTAAATATTCTAAATTAGTTTTGTACTTCTTTTTCCTTCTAATTACCCT